TTTTTAACATCATAAAACTTTCAAATTTTGCATTGCGAACCAAATCGTGTCAGATAGGGTTTCAAGGTGAAAATTTTTTGGCATTACGATGTGCCGCTAGACTACGCTTCAAATTTTGGCGAGAAAAAAAGGAGATTAAGAACTGCTTTTGATTAGGGACTTCATTGAGCTTCTTTTGGCCGACGAGTTAAACATAAGCACTTCTAAAGCACCAAAAACAATGCCCAGTCATATATTTTTTACAAAAATGTGCAAAAAAAACGTGACATATTTTTTTAAAGAATTGATTTTTTGATCATTCAATATCTTTTGATTGTTGAGAGTTACTCGAACCCTGCTTCTGTAATTCTTGTTTATGTCTTTTGAATTTATGACATATTGCTTGTTGGTGTTCAAAAATTCGATAAAAACTGCATAAAAAGTTTGATCCTTAGTTTTGGAAGTCAACAAGTTCGATCGCAGTCAGTTAAAACATAGCACATTTATGATACAAAAAAATCTATGAAAAAACGTGACACTGCTCATATTTTCAAATAATTTGTACCCGCACAGAGAAATCATAAAATAATATATTGTTTTTATCTATAAAATCACAAAACAATCTGTTATAATTCATTGAAAATGGATTATAACCAAATTTTTTTTAGTGTCAGTTTGATCCATTATAATCAATCGGAATCGAATATATTGTTTTTTTAAAGAATTTATTGATTACGCTTGTTTTCAGTTAACAACGTGTTTAACAGAATCACTTAGTCTCTTGGTTCATAATGAGTTCAAATTTCTAAGTGTCTCGTGCACATTTGGTCTGGAGATAACGAATACGCCTGTAACGCCAAAGGTCGTGGGTTCGAATGTCACCATGACTTGATTTTTTTCAAAAGGTTAATTTTCCGTTTGTAAAAATAAATTTTCGGCTTATTATTTGTCTGCTTTTGTTTTCTCGGCTTAGTTATCACATCTTAGAGTTTTTATTGTAGTTGCTGTTTATGTTATCTTTTTTCTGCAGTTTGTAATGTTCTCCTCCGTATCGTACAACATGTTAAAAATCTCAGAATAGACAACAATTTTGCTTTTATGACAACGATTTTGTTTCGCTCAAAAATGTTTTTGAATTTCCATTAAACGCCGTCGGATGGGTTTCCGGGCGTGTTTTCCGCAAATAGAACATCATTCCAGATAACCTTTTGAAGTTTAGTAGTTGTGGTTTTTTCAAAAAGTTTTCAGATTTCTTTGGACTTAGTAGCTCTTTCCTTTCTTGTCTGCTAGATTACAATGCTATTTTTGTGGTATCGCAAGTGATGCGAAGCTCAGCTTCGCCTCTGTGTGGAAATTCGAAATTTACAACTTTATTTTATTTTAGCCCCCTCCCTTAGGTAGTCTAAGGGTTTTAGTTGAATTCCTTTTCTTTTACCACCCATTCTCCCCGGTTTAACCACTCGCCCCTAGTTTCCACATTTATTGTACGTAACTTAAGTGGAGGAGGGATAGAAACTAAGCGGCGTAGTACACTGGGGGAGGGTTTGGTGAAATGGGGTTGGGGGTTAAAAACTTGGTTAGGAGTACCCTCGAGGGGGGAGGGTAAAAATTTGGGTATGAATACGCCCGGGGGAGGGGGAGACTAAGGGGAAATCAGTTTTTGGGAATGGGGTGATAGTTTGGGGAGTGGGTGTTCGAAATTTAATCCTACAGTTTTTGCTTGTCATAACTGTAAAAAAAACAACCCGCAATACGGTTCCATGGATAATATATGATTTTGATGGAATTTTATGGTCTGTCTCTATAATTGATAAAACAAACATATATAATTGATTAAAAACCGATTATAAAAAAGTAGAAGTCAACTTGAATCATTATAATCAATTATAACGGATTATGTAGGGTTATAATAGCTTACAGTGGAAACTATTAGGTTTTTATGAGTTAACGCCTGGACTTTCCAAAAACTTAAAAATAAACACTCCAACTTGAGCGTTGCAATTGCTAAATTTAGTTTCAAATTTGGCTATTGCAAAAACCAGTTGTACTGTATTAGAATTGTCTTTTTTCTGATTGTTTCTCCCTCCCCCAACATGCAGAATAAATTTTATACAGAATATAGTCTGTAATAATCCATTATATTAGAGTTTAAATGGACTATATTCAAAATAATTTCTCCAAAAATAAGGAATTATAATGAACTAAAATCAAGAACTGATCCCAACCTGTAATTATAATCAATTGTAATGAACTGATCCCAACGTATAATTATAATCAATTTTAATGGCAATATATCGGTCGACAAAACTGATAATAACCGATTATTATCAATGAAACCTCACTGCCGGATAGTATAGAACTTTTTGCGAAATTTTCAAAATTTCAGCGAATAAATTGAATTTATTTACTGCATAAAAAAAGTTGTTTTGTTTTGACTTGTCTTTTTTCTACATATTTCCCCCTTTCCCCATCATATCGTAAAATTTCGATATCGAAAAAGATCGTAATCACGTGCCTCTTTAAACCTCCCCCCCCCCCCCCCACAAACACATCTATGGCACCTCCCTTCAGACCTTTACCTACCAAAAAAGTTTTGGGCTGCCACGTGTCTGGAAAGCTTGACAAAAAGTTGTGTTTGTATAGTTGGGGTTGAGGGATTTTTGAAAGAGTACTAAAATTGCATTGCGGAGGTGGTATAGGTGGGGGAGAGAAAGGCAGGTGTGTGTGCGTTCGGAAGGGGGGTTAGGTGTGAGTGGGTGGGGTAGGGTAAGTCGGCTGGGATAGATGGGGTTGGGTTTAAATGGGGGCGGGGTGGATGGGTAGTGGGTGGCTGGTTGTAACTGTGGCGATAAATGTGGGGGGATGTGGGTATATTTTGGCGTTAAAGATAAAAAGACCTGGGCTTACATGGTGATGGATATGGTTTTAAGTAAAATTAAGCAAAAGTGAGTAGATTTAGAAATCGAGTTGTCGTGAGTATTATACAAAAAGCTACAAAAAAGTTACAAAAAATTGAAAATTTTATACAGATAATAGTCCATTATAATGGATTTTAAAAGGATTATAATCGATTTAACTTCTTCAAAAATAATGGATTTTGTTGGACTATAATCGATTGCCTGACCCTAAAGTGTAATTATAGTCGATTATTATCCATGGACTCTTACTGCGGGATATCATCGAATTTCTTGCAAAAATTTGCAAAATTTCTGCAACTTAACCAAATTTAGTTCTAAGAAAAATGCATTGTAATCTATTCAATTTAATCGATTATAACGGATTTTTGTGATAAAAAATGCATTTGATTTCAGTGTCAAAAATGATGAATTATAGTCGATGATAATGGATGGATTAAGCTGTTTTTTTTTTTCAAAAATGTTCGATTATAATGACAATATAATCGATTTCGTGGTTTGATTTTTACATCTGTTCTGGATCATCATGCTTAAGTTTTGTCTCGGAAATCCATTGTAATCGATTAAAAAACACGAGTGCTCGGTGTGGGTACTCCAGCACTGCAAATTTTTGACTAATTGCAACCCGCTAACAAGTTTTCAAGTTTTTTTAAAGAAAATAACGCCATATTTTTTCAAACTAGAAATTTATGAGGCAACCGGATATCAGTCCGAAAACGAAATCTAAATTGTTATAGTGATAAAATTAGAGTATGTTAAGCTTGCCGGAATTTAAGTAATTTGAACTATTTTTCTATCAAAGTAACAAAAAACAGCCCTCTGTTTTTAAAACTATTTAATTTTTTTTAGAATTGCTACAAATTCAACATGCAGCAAACTGAAATAACAACACTATTTTGGCAAATTTCGAAAAAAAATTGGTCAAAAATGCGTGCTGCCCCTTAGAATTACTATATATTCCCGACGAAGGCGCTATTAGAAAAAGTTTAGGGTTGATCGGTCGAAAATGGCTTTAATAAAAAAAATACAAAAAGGGGTATATTTTGGTTGGTGAAGGGATCCAATCCTTGAGGTGAAACGCCCCCCCCCCCCCCCCTCTTAAATCCCCCTGCAAGGGATACGAGGTTAGGTAGCAGATTCTGCTGGCATGTAAAATTTTAGGGCGAAAATAGATGTCGTAAAACAATACCAAAGGAGTGACTCATTTGGTGGCGAGGGGTCGAATCCCTAAGCCAACCCTCGCCCCTCTATAAACCCGCCAGCTGATTCATACATTAGCTGGCTAATAATAGGACTGGTTTAATACGTCAGTTGAAAAATGTTTTGAGAATTCAATTTTTTGATCATTTTTTTAGTTTTCCATTAGATGATCTGCGTTGTAATGAAATTACTTGTTCACACATGGTTGCGTGCGACATTGGCAAATTGAATGGGCTGAAATTGTTCTATACTTTTTAAAATATAATTTCCATTATTAGAAAGGAAAGTGAACTCACAAACATTAGCCCAAACAACGAATCAATCTCCTGTGTTCTGATTGAATATAGCTTTTTTAAAAGAAAAGAAACGAAATTGGATTGCTTTCTCATAGAAACAAGAAACTGATTTTCTGATTTCAATTTAGTTTTTTTTTCTCATTAGGTTAAAATGCAATTTACTTATAAAACCAAATGGAATTGGTTTATTTTTACGTTCCCTGAGTGCATAAGAACGATAGTAAACGTAGAACATTAAATCCTGATTGACTTTAAAGGCTCGATGTGGTTATGGAGGGAGGTGGGGGTTGGTTTGATACTTTATTAAAATTTATGGCTTTTGTGGGGAGGGGGTATTGGTTAGTTTAGCGAGTGAAATGGAGGGGGTTTCTGTAATGGGATTTCTAATGTTTGAAGTGACGTGTCTTTAAAGAAGACTCTTTAGAGAAATCTTTGTTGATTGTTTATTGAGATTAATATTGCTAATTGCGGATGCGCGCCAATGACCACCTGATTAGAAAAAGTAGCGAGTCTCGAAAAGTGCTCTTGGCTTGGAATTCCTCAGTGGATTTAATGAGCTCCTTTTTTATTGGCTAATCACCGCGCAACACCATTCGAGCAAAGCCGCTCCATCTGGGAACCAACGGCGCGGAAATCTAATAAATTTCAACAGTCGCTCCTGAACCGAAACCCATTATTATACTTCCCTACTCCAAAGAAAAGAGTCCATACTCTGAAAAAAAAACCACCTCAGCTAAAAAAAAAATAAACAAACTCTTAACTTATTAACCCAAAGATATTCCTTCCAATATCTAACTTGCCTTCTTAGCCTATTTCCCAATTTTCACTTCTCTCAATATCTGTCAAATTGTTCACGTTATTTTCCCCATCATTCGCGTTGATTCCCATCCTGATTTTTTCCTTCGCGTATCTGATCTGTGATTGGTCCATCTCTGCAGCCAGTAAAACTGCTCCTTTTCCACAGGAAAACTGATCGAATTGGTTTTTCAAGCTATCAGCTTGATTAGATTTGAGCTAACAGTAGCTGAAGACTTTTAGTATCATTGTTTGCTTTCTCCGCTTCAGAACCCGCAGCTAGCTTTTTTGCTTTCCGCTTCCGTTGTTTCATTTTCCCCTTTCGTCTGCTAAACTTTTTCCTCGTGACTACCCATCGGTGGAATTTTGCGCGGTCATCAAAATCATCATACCCGAAACAAACTTCTTCAACTGAACTAGATAACACACAACAATACTTAAGCATAGTAGTCATTTGGTCTGCAGTTATCTTCAATCAACCAAAAACTGAGTGAAGCTTCTTGAAAAAATATACGGTAATAAAAAACCGCAGACTTTTCTTTCGTGGTTGTTACCTTGACGCTTCACTGTTCATTGCTTGATCAGTCAACTCTTAATCAGGAAATAAAACCTGAAGAGTTTGCGACTGGCAACTGAGCCGAAACGAGTTGAATCGACACGCACTGAGTCAGAAAAACACGAACTCATAATATAGAAAAGGTGTGCTAGTTCTGCTATACTTCATTGGTGATTTGTGACCACTGATTTCGTGGAAACTTCGAGGAGCTTCTCGCAACATGGATTTCGAGATGTTTTCGGATCGGTGCAAACAGCTCAAGTGTAAGTAGACATTTCATTTTCTTACCACAACAAACCCATCTTGTAGTCAAATTTAAGATTGCAATTAACCAAATAACTTGATAACATTTTAGAATTGTTAAAATTATGTTCTTCATGATCCTCATACTGTTACAGTTTTTGTATAAACTTTTCAGTTTTTAACTTCAAACTTCTTTGGCTATTCGAGCCCACTTAAGTAGTACGTTTAACCTTTTCATTCAAGCAAACCATTCTTGCTGCTGACTTTCAACTTTTGATTTTCTCTATCACGAAAGGAAAACTTTAGTAAAACTTTAGAAAACATTCACTAAACTTCACTCCTTCGCTAAAGGAAAATTTGGAAAAAATGATGAATTTATTCTCAGTTTTGATTTTTCGAGTTTCTTAATCTTCAATAAAATAGGAAATAGAAACAAGACTTGCTTGCTCCTGTTTGACATATTTGAAAACGGGCTATCACTTATTTCACTGACATCTTCAAAAACCCTGCGTTGTGTATGATGTAAGTGATTGACCTCAACTTTGATTTTTATCTCGAAACTTCTTCAAATGAAAATTCTACTTAAAACTCATAAGTTCATTTGTGATTAGAATTTTTTAGCTATCATCTTTTTCTTCTTTCTTTGGTCGTTTTTGTCCATTCTCTAACGCTTTGTGGGCTGTGTTTTTAGTTTTCCCAGACTCCGATTTGGGTCACGGGGGCGTGAACCAGTTGGGGGGAGTGTATGTGAATGGGAGGCCACTGCCAGATATGGTGCGACAGAGGATAGTTGACCTGGCCCAGAGTGGGGTGAGGCCATGCGACATTTCCAGACAGCTCAGAGTCAGTCATGGATGTGTCAGCAAAATACTCGCCAGGTGAGAGACACTTCGTTCTGAACTACTTTCGAACCGGAGCTATCTGAAAACAAATGTATCCATTGCATGATCCCATTGTTAGTGGATAACATTACCATCGTGCGAAACCAACCGTGAGTCAATATCGATCAATAATTGGTCAAAATTTTAATTAGGTATCAAAAATTTAAATGAAAGCCTGTATAAATTGCAGCTGAACTTATTCTTTTTAAACAGAAAAGTGCAAGTTAACTCTGAAATGCTGACCATCCTCAGTTATAAGATAATTTATTTTCTTTGGACGATGATGGCAAAAACAAACACAAAAGTTTTGTAATTTTCAGAACTTTTTCCATTATTTCTCCAATTTAGACCGACAGATTAGGTTGCCTTGAATTCTTCAAAATCTCCTGCTATGATTTCTATGTTCTTCTAATCACCATTAATTGTCACTTCTCTCTAATTTTCCAATTAAACTATTAGAGTGCCGCAATTATTTGCTCCGCCCCAGGACATCGGATCATCCTAAATATTGTACTTAGTTTTGGAAGGGATTTTGAAGTTTCAAGCTTCGTGCCAAATTTGACTGTTGATAAAAATGGATTGTTGGGATTCATTGACGACCAGCATTGTTACTCGGTGTCACCTAACTACAGAATGTTTTCACTTTTTTTACTATGAAATATCATCTGATGAAATTATTATAAACAACAATATTGCAAGGGTTTACTTGGCTCATGATATGTTTTTGTTGTCCTTTGTAGGAGCCGATTTTCATAACAACGCTTGAGTCTGATTTTTTAGGTTTTCATTTTTTGGCAAATGTCATTTTTTGTTTATTTTTGTTTTTTTTTCTATAGCAATTCAAAGGAAGAACGGCGACTCTTAAAGTGTCTCGCAAGAGTCTATAACTGACCGAAAAAGAATCTCCAAGTTTCTGATCTATTCAAATTTATCTGTTTTACAACTATTTAACAGGCAATTTATCTCATTTAAGTTAATTTTTTTCTTTTAATATTAATCTGTTTGCTTAGGAGTAGTCATAAAATCTTCACAAATAGTGATACTTTTTCTACTAGTAATCCAAATATGATTTGGTATTTGTTTGTTGTCTGTTTGTTTGTTTTTTCTTTGTATATGCGGGCAGGGTCCATTAATTAAAGAATAGTTCTGCTCTTTGAAACAAGCACTTCAAAAGATGAAGTTAATCTTCAATTTGGGGTCCAAATTGTTTGTTTATATCCAGAACTAATCCACCAGAATCAAAAAATGAGACAGATCCTGATGATACTCTGCTATATTTTTAAACACTCGTTCCACTCAATTATTTTCCACTTTTTCCGCTTTCTTCAATTTTATTTTTTAATTTTTAGGGTACATTTGTTCAGTCTCGGGTTCTAATCGCAGGAATTTAGGGGTCAATTTCAGAGACTCTTCATCTCATTTTTCTATTTTCCACTTCGCTGCGAAACCCCGTCTTTTGTATAGACTCCATATTGTAAATACCTAGAAATTTATCCAACCCTGCTAAGATTTTTTTTTCCCTATTTTTGACTCTGGATAAAAAAACAATAACAAATGTTCTCATAAAACGTCTCTTTCAAAACTAATCCTAAAGTATCAAATTCTAATACATAAACAGAAGAAAATAACTTGAAGACGTTTTTAGATCCGATATTTTTCCGCTAGCCTGGATATTATTTGGATGAAAATCTGGCTGCTCTAAAAAGCAGTTTCACATATCAAACAGAATTCAGCCATATGTGTATCATAAAAATCTCTGTAAATCTAGTTTATTGATGAGGTTTTCCGATAACACGTTTCCTCCCAGATTGATTTCAAAGTCCATATAACAATTTGAAGCTTTCTTTTCAAATAAGCCCAAATATTTCAGTATCTTGAAACATTTACTTAAAAAATGAAATTTTTGCTAAACACTTTAATTATCAGTACTTTTTAAATCAAAAAAATGTGCTAATTTTGTATTCGGCCAATTGAGCTTTTTGATTTGTATTTGATTCAATACGTGCACGCATTTAGGTTCTACGAGACAGGCTCCATCCGTCCAGGGGTGATTGGGGGCAGTAAGCCTAAAGTGGCCACTCCTGGTGTGGTGGACAAGATAGGAGAATATAAGAGACTCAATCCGACCATGTTCGCGTGGGAGATCAGAGACAGGTTGTTGCAGGACAATGTCTGTTCATCAGAAACTGTGCCTAGTGTGTCTTCTATCAACAGGTCAGTCGAGTAATTTCAAGGCCATTGTTTGCAGTCTTTTTGAATAAGGTCAACTTTTGGTATTTCTTAAAATATTATTAATCAACAATTACCTCATAACTATAAGTGTAACAAGCATTGTTTCGTTTTAAATTGAAAAATGGATGATATCATTTTTCAAATAAAAAAAAAATTTCAAGGGTTTCTGGAGGGTTCTTAGACATTTATCATAATAACATTTTTTTGTGAAAAAAATCAGAGGTGGAGTTGGGGTTCTGAAAAATTTTTCAAAAACTAAAATTGTGTATCTATAATTAATAATATCTTTTGAAGGAAAGAAAAATATTTCATGCATGCGTCTGAAAAAAATGCACGCTGGCTTGATTATAATGAACATTCATGTTTGAACTGTAATGCTTCAGCCAGTGTACTAAAAAGAACGGTTATTCGTTGGTTCCTGTTTCCAACTCATCAGTTTTTGAGATAAAACAAACATCATGTCAGCCAAAACAATTGCAAGATTCATTAATTTTTCGTGCCGTATATTTGCGCTAAAAGTGATGACAAAAATGGAAAAAAATAAGCTAAATGACTGATTTTTTTTTCTGAAAATTAATTTTCACTGTTTTGCTGTTGAACTTGAAGCTTGATCGACATGAAATAGATCTAGGCTTCTCTTTTTGTAATGCAATGATGGTTTTGATTGGAATTCGAGTTAATTTTAATTTGGAGGTAGACGCATCAAAGTACTTTTTAATTTACCTGATAAGAAGCAATTGGACTCAAAATAGAAAGACACCGTTACAAGTTACAATATTTAAATGACAAGAAGGGAAAAATGAAAATTGTCTAGCCCAGGAAATATTTTACTCAATTACATTTTTACACAAGCACTTGTAAACTAATCAACAACAAAGTCACGGCTGAAAAGCTGATAGTATCTAGGATCATATCCTGTGCAAAATATAGATATTTCTTTTCAATTTTTGGACACTTCAGTTTTTTTATCATTGTAAAATTTGCAAATCAAAGTTAAATAATAATTTATTGAAACTTTTTTTTTACAAAATGAAAACTGGAAATTATAGTATCAATTGCTTGCAAAATGGACTTAAGCCTACGCCTCATTAACTTCTCAGTGAGTTGAAAAAGTCCACTTGAAACTTTTGAGACTTAGTAAAAATGTGTTGAGCGGATTTGATTCAATATGTTGCAATAACAGTTGGCGTTGATTGAGAGAACTTGTCTTGAAAAAGAGAGCCATAATTTCTGAATGAAGTTTCGCTCCGTCTCAACTTCCCTGAGGCATGAACTAACAAATGTTCGCACTTTAAGACCATTGAGGGACTTAAAAAGAGTGGCAAGTAAACGAAAAGTTAGAACACTTCACAAAGAAAAAAAACAATTATGCGTGACGACTTTTGTGTCTCACTTGAAAAATTTCGGGACTGGAATAATTTTGATTCAATCAAAATGATTTTCTGAAAGTGATATTAATGAAAGCAAAAATTATGCTGATGTTTTTAAATAGTTTTTTTTTTATAATTAAATGCCAAAAATACAGGAAAGATTGAAAGAAAACGAAGAAAACACAGTTATTTTCTTCGAGGAAAAATTGTAAACTTTTATTTTTCGATCAAATGATAGTTTAAGCAAGTAAATTGGAATAGTTTTTTTTTTCATTCCAGAATTGTGAGAAACAAAATTGGAGACAAATTGGACGGAGATGGTAAGCGGGACTCTCTCGGTGACTCCATGTCCACACCTGGCGGCCATGATTGTATGGACAAGGATCCCCAGTCACATCTAGTGTCCTCTTCAGTGACGAGTAATGGCTCCTCCTATTCCATTAATGGAATATTGGGAATGAGGGATGCTCTGAGTGGACTGTCCAGAAAAAGAACTTCTGGCATTGCATTCGGCATGTGTGATTTGACTAAAAATGACTTATTCAATGATCAGAAAAAGCTGATTTTTTTGCATTATGAATCTCTGATCTGAAGTTTTCAATGAAATGTTCTACACTATTTTTGACTTTTTTTCTACATTCGAATGCTCACGAACGTTATCTTTGAGCGTCTTTAAAAAAGATTCGTGCAGTTTTTTTAAACTGATATTTTTTCTCAGTTTTCAAGTAAATTTGAACTCTTCAAATTTAATCAAAAGTATATTTTATGATTTGTTTTCTAGATGGAGACCGACTCTTAGACCACTCCTCCAAACTCAAAAGAGGTGACGACCCCCACCACAACCACCCCTCAGCCTCTCTCTTCCACACAGCCCACATGCACCCCTCCCCCCACCCTATGGGTCCCTTTGCCGCTTTCGCCACTGCACCCCAAGGGCACATGGGGGCAGCGGGGGTGGGGACTTATGGAGCGACAGTGGGCACAGGGTACCCTGCCTATGTGCATCAGCATCACAATCACGCAGCTCATTTCAACAGTGGGGATACTAGAATGATGCAATCACAGGTACTCATATGAAGGACATTTTTTTCATCTTTGTTATTAATTTTGATAAAATAGCAAAATATTCGTTTTGTTTTGTTTTTAGTGAAAGTTGACTTTAATGTGAGCCGTTATTGAAAAAACTGGAAACATTTAATTTTGTTTTTATTTTAAAAAAAAGTTTTTTTTTGCACATTTGCTCATTGCTGGTTTCAGATGATGGCTGCAGCTGTGAACCCGCACTCTCTCTACTACGATAAAATGACCACACCCTACTTCACATCAGCACTCCCCTCAGACTACCTCAGAGCAGTACAGGGTGCCACTTCAGGAGGGGTAGTGGGGGGAGGGATCCCCACCTCACTCAACCCCACACTTGGAGGCAACTCAAACACAATCAACAACCTATCCAGTAGTAATGCATCCGATATGATGTCATCACATTACGCCCTCTTTCAAAGCCCAATGAGTCAGAACCCCTCTTTGGTCGGGGGTGGGGGGCAACAACAGTTGTCTGCAGGGGGGATGGATCTGAACTTGCAGATATCGATGGCAAATAATGCGAATTCAAGTGGGGATAATGTAAAAGATGGAAGATCTAGTTCTGACGCCAATGGTAAATTTTTTTACTCTTCGTAGAACAATCATCAGTCCAGAAATTTGTGTTTCTCATTTTTAGACTGAACAAAAAGAAAGAGAAAACTATTCACAAATTGAAATGGCTTAAAAATAGCAGTTTTTCATTGTCCATCTCTTAATTTGTTTATTTTAAAAATTATTTCTTAATAACTTTTTGCAGCTGGTATCTAGTCTTTTTAACCAAAGGCGTGATACTTTTAAGGCGGCTTATAATAAGATAACTTTATGCTCTAATCATATACTGTCGTCGCATAAATTTTAATTGGAATTTGATATTTTAGTGGGCCTGTTCGACTCACAGCCCAGATCGGACTCCGAGAAGACTGCGACTATCTTGGAGGGCGACACTTCTTCTCTGCTGCTGCAGGGGTCTAACAAGCAGGCCACTTCTCTCGTCCCCCCTCTCATGAATGTCAACTCCTCTTTCGGGAGAACAGGCACAAGTGTCACAGGGACCCCACATCATGCACCCAGCATGTATGCTGCACTCTACCCATCAGGTAATGACTTCAGCCACTTTACCCTCCAAAACCCACTAAAATCTTGTATACTACAACCACTTTGAACTACAGAGTGTAGTTCAATAACAGCCTTAATTTCAAACTTGCCATACACAATGAATAAGTGACATGATCTTAATGTTAAATTTTCTTAAATCGCGAGATAACTGAACGATTGTCCAGCAAAAGATGATAAAAATTTTGTAAAAAAAAACAAAGTTATGAGGTAAACGTTATTAGCAGAAGCGGCTGAAAAGAGACTACTTCGATGAGAAGTTCAGAAATAAATCTTCTCTGCAAATTAATTGAGTGAACTGAAGTATGTAGAAGGTAAATTTACTCACTCATTGTCTTTTTTCAGCTACCCAAGAATACGCTCAGAGTCTTCAGCAGGTGTACTCATCTGCCGCAGCTGCGGGAGTTGGGGTGGGGGTGGGACAGTACAACCCAGTAGGGGTGGGGGCAAGTGCGGCTGCAGCTGCCGTCGGTTTTCCCCACACAACCACTGACTGGCACCACAGATTCAACCCTTCTCTCATTGGTGAGTCATCAGAAAACTATAATGGCCAATCAAAGTGTAGCATTTGCGACATTCTAGCGTGAAAATTACTCATTTCTGATAGATTTGAAGACATTGATCAAAGTTTTTAGCTCCCCTTCCGCACACGCAAATTTGCAAAATTGACAAAAAAAGTGCGAGCAAGAAATGTAAAATTGAAAGAGGTTACGACATATATTATAAAAAACTTGTGCTGCAACAAATAAAACGTTTCTTTTTGTTTTAGTTTAAAGCCGAAGATGATTCTGCTCAACTTAGCTCCCGAAGTTCAACGTCATCTCGCAATGGACTAGATCAATCAAAAGTGGAGTGGTGCTATTCGACTGTTTTCATCATTAATCTTTCCCTCTTAAACTCTCTACCAAATTATGAACTATTAGTTAGATTCGTTTTTAAACCCCTAAGTTGTATATTGTGATGTGAAGGGTTTATTACTGAAAAAAATATATATATTTTTTGTAGTTTCAACCAACAAATGATTCTATATTTCTGCTTTCTTTCCAATAAAGCTTTCAGAGAACGAACTGTTTTATTTGAATCTCAATCCGTCTATCGGAAAAAGTAGTTTTTAAAACTGAAATTGATAAAAAATTGAGCAGTTGAAAGTAATAATTTAATCGGACCAGGGGCGGATGTAGGATTTTCTCGAGGGGGGGGGGGGGGGGCGGATTTTCAAAAAATATTCGAAAATTTTGACGACCTTTTTTTAGGTCGGCCAAATTAATTTTCCGAGCTCTCTTAAAGCACTAAAAAGACGCTGTTTTGACCAAATTTTCTGCGCCGAAGGCAAATTTTTGAAAAAAAAACAGGTAAAAACAGCCGTCACCTCCTTGGGATTGGACCCCCTTTGGGTCGGGAGTGGGTCAAATCCCTGTAGGGGGAGGCGTACGCCACCCCCTCCTAAATCCGTCCCGGATTCGGACCAAATGACCATCCTTCTCTTCCCATAAAACACTATTGGGGGAAAACGATGTTAACTTTGTTCAATTATGTAAATTTTAGCCAATCAAAACCAAGTAGTTTACAGGCTTTGCTAAGCAACTTTAATCAAAAGCAAATCGTGGGGTGGATAGTTTTAACTTGGTAATATAGGGGGGAGGGGACAATGTTACCTTGATCGATTTATTCATATCAAACTCACTGCAGGGTAACCGCAATTAAATTCACCAAAACAAACTGCTTGCACATCACGGCAAAGCTCTGAATCTTTCGACTGTCGTTTACGTGTTTCGAAGACTTTTTGGTGAGAAAATCTCAATAACCCATATTTACTTGACGATTTTTATCCAACAAAAATTTAAACTGAGCCGTGAAAGAAAACAAGACTTTTAGAATGAAGGCAAAACTGCTCGTATTCCGACTGCCCACAAGCATCTATTAAAAGCTTGTTGATTAATTTTTTTCATAGTTAGGAAAAAAATTGCGGAAATACAAAATTGAGTCTTATGAAAAAAAACTTTGTGTCTGGTGAAAAAAAGATCAAACGAGCAAATTCCTTGTTTCAATTTATTTTGGAGTTATTTGCTTTCCTGCTTTTATTTTACTAGGAGGAAATACATCGAGCCTTAACTAAAATGTCAAAGTACTCCCATTTTCGGACCATTTTTTTTTATAAAATGATCCTGAGTTCGATTTTTTTTTCAAATTCTGCACCATGATCATCATTATCTCTCAGACTGTATAAAATTTTCGTTGAGTAAAAACCCAAAGTTTTTATGGGAAAAAATAAGCCGAGCCTAATTATTCGAAAGTTGGAACAAAAACATGACCAAGTTAGCTTGCTAGATTTCAGTTCGTTTTAACCTTTGTACGGGATAGTAATAGGTATCACACCTCAGGATCATAGACAGAATCCTGAACGTTTTAAAATAGCACTTTATATAAGCTCAAAGCAAAATTAGGATACTGCTAAGCCTTCGCTGGTTAACACTGAGTTTTTACAGGTTTGATCTCCTTTGTGCCATTTCTTTGAAAATTTTTCTAAAATTCCAACCCAAGCATATACAATCTTCATTTTTGTTTCAAAATTCTAAAAAGTATATTTCCAGTAATGTATTGAAAAATTTTGTGTCTTTTGAACAATTTGAATAGCAAAATTGTTTTAGTGTGTGGTAAAAAAAGTTGATTTATCACCATCTATTCAAATTGGGTTAACTTCAAAAATTCTGTAAAGCAATGCATCAACATTGATTCAAACTTTTTTTTGACCTAGTGTTTTTGTCAAAAATGGGTGACAAATATGTACACTTAAATAAAAAAATAAATGTAAAATGATTTTTTTTTCTTGTTTCGTGTTTTTGAAAAACGTTGCATAACACGTTTTTCTAACTTGCTTAAACATGTGAAGCACATGTGACACGCAATTTTTCCCGAGAGTCTAACTCATTTTCTTTTTTCGATTGGATAATTTCCATACATTTCGTACATTTAACAAATTGAACGAATTTTGTATGAAGGCGTTTCTCTGAAATATATTGAAAAACAGATCACCAGTTGAACAATACCGAAATCAATATGGGGATGACATCATTCACTTGGTTAAAATAATTCACTTGAGTATCATGAACTTGGAGATCATTCACTTGCTTAGTTTAGGGGAAACTATTCATATAGACCAAAATTTTTGCCACATCAAACAAATTTTTCAAATTTCTATGAAAAATAATTACTTTATTATCTAGATTTCTGACCCTTACAGCTGAAAGTTTAAAAAATTGAAGACACTCAAAAATTGAGTACACAACTGCCATTTGAGATATCGCAGTATGTGCACGCAGGTATGAATTGCTGTCCCTGTTTTTCAAGCTCTTCGCAACAAACTTTTTCGGACAAAACCTACCTAAATCAGCACATTGAATGTATTATTAAAAATGACCGTTGCTTAAATCTGGTTGTCTATCCCAGGTTGAGCTCACTTCGAAAATTAGCGATAAGAAAATGAAAAAAAACAGCAATCGCCATTAATGAGTTATTGATTTTCATTGTCACACTAGCAATTGTTATGAATAAATTATTGCTAATTTGGCTGATTGATTTTCAGCTTTGAAACAGCGATAAAACCTATCAAATTGAGCTAGGAAATTGCTCTATCAGGGTTTTGATCCCTCAACCATTAGCTTTACAGACTTGTATGCTACCTCTGCGACATAAATTTTTACATATCCACAAGTTAAAGCGCTTATTAACTATAAACCTCTTATTTGAAAGCAACTAGAATGAATTTCTTAAGTTTTAGCAATGATTTTCTACGGAATCATTACTGAAATAGCTCTGAAATATCGCAGGTTTAGCTATGCAAAAAACACTGAATTATACATGAATCAGCGCTGGAAAATAGCGATCACTGGGATACTACAAATAAAACTATAATTTATAATGGGACTTCAACCCGGGTCACTAATTTTCTATGGCGATTGGGTACGTTTCCTAGATTTGAAAATGCATAAAGTTTGTATAAGAGGCGCTTCATCACAAATTGTTGAAAAGCAAAAGACCAGGTGAACAATTTTTCACACCAATCAATTTAGAGAATACATCATTCACCTATTTACAATTTTTCTTTTTAACCAATCATTGCTTGATTTTGGCATTTGTTTAGAAAGGGGTTGTCGTTCACTTGCTTTGCTTAAGGGGATACTTTTCCCATAGACTTAAACACTTTTTCAGTTGTGTATAACAAATTTTTTTCTTTTCGATTAGATTTAACTGATTTCCTATCTATTTTTCTGATCTAAAATTTCCTAGCAATATTGAAAGTGTTTTTTTTTTAAAATAATTTTCAAATCTTAACTGTTCTCTGACAAAAACCAATTTTGGATCTTAGCTAGTACAATTTAGCAAAACCTGATTTCCGTTCTTTTTTTTCTGATTCACGGAAACAATGATTTCTATATAAAATTAGCTTCTAAAATGTCACAAACAAAAATTCCAGTGTATTGCAATAGTTGGCCGAGAAATTTTGTAGGGACCAACTTGTTTTGTTGCAACAAAAAGAACCAATCAGTTTTTAAAAACCTTTTTTCGGCTCTAATATGACAAGAAATTATAAATTTTAACATATAGTTTGAAAATTTTCGGCTTCAATTTTTTCCAGGAGTTGTAATTTTTGATGGAATTTAGTTACACAAAATATGCAAAACTCTGTTGCATAACTATCAAAAAGAAAAAAAAACTATTTTTTGTTGAATATAGTTCAAATTCGAAAGTTTTGCTGCATGCACACATCACCTTGTACAACTAGAAGATTTTAATACCAGTACTTGAAAGATCAACTATTCTGAATTTACTCCAGAAAAAATTTTAAGTAATGTTTAGTCGCATAGTCAACTCAGTACCCATTAAACACATCAAATACATTCATCGTTGGCTGAAAATAACATAAAAGAACCTTAAGAAACGAAACGATAACCTGAAGAGGCTGTTTGCCTGTTTGCAGTATTTGCATGAATTGGCTGGAATATCTGCACTTCATATCAAGAGATTTTCCTTATTCAATACAAATGTGACTAAACTAATGATTCATTTTGGAAAAACTTGTTTCACTTCAAATTAATTCAAAAGTTTCAGATTTTTCTGATAGTGAAAAAACGAAGTTACTTCTGATAGTGAAAAAATTCTATTCAATTTAATTATTTTATTTTGAGGATCACAAGCCACAAAGTTTTATATAATTGATTCTAGCTCACTATAATTTCATAAAACAACTAGAAGTGACAAATATTGACGCTATACATTAGTTAATCTAAGGCAAAAAATTCGTTTTTCTGACAAATTTTTTGATAATAACGTAATCAGCATCAAAAGGACTTATCAGTGGTGTATAAAAAAGTCTTTCCAAAGTTATAGATAGCTGTATCCAAAAAATATATCAGCGTTTCAAACCATAGTTCACTTTCAGGTAAACTTGAAAGCTGATAAAGTTCTTTCACCTTACGTTCTTCGGGGCAGCATTTCTGCTATTCATTACCACCAACCTTCGTTCAATTATAAAATTATTGTTTTTTCGAAAAATAAATTTAAAAAACAGATCAATCTGTTAAGCGAAATACCTGAACTCTCCCTGAAACTTGCGATCGATCAGTTGAATTGAAGATATGTTCTCTAGCAAATTGAGTGGTTTTTACTGCTTTTTATAGCTTCAAACTCCAAATCAAGTCCTAAGAACTGAAAACAAATCAGAAAAATGTGAGAAATAAGCATTTGATCAGAAATCTTCAAGTATGGGACGAGAAAATTTATTTATGACGGATTGCGAGCATTTTCAGTTATCTTCAGCGTCTTTTGCTTAGAGAACATTGAATAAGTACACTCAAAGGATTCGTTCTAACAACAAAAAAAGTTTTCTTTGACAACAAACATCAACCTTAAATATGCGTACTCCCAAAAGTTGTTGAGTGAGGCAATGAGTCGACAGTGTAATTTCAGCCTAGTGGGAAGAAGCATAAGGTGAACCTAGCGTTGTAAAACAAAGTTATATGAGTTTCAATTAGTGATGATTGCCAAATTTTGGAA